TCACTTATTCGCATAGTAAAGAAACTTGAAGTTTAGCATCTACTGATCTCAGTTGAAATAGAAAAGTTTCTCGTGATGTTGCTAGTGCTCAAACAATTAGAAGAGCACTACAAAAACACCACAACATGTGGCGAGCTGCTGGCGAAACACCGCGTCTATTAATAAGACATCAGAAAACAAGAGATTACTGGTGTTTAGCTCATAAAATTTGTTATATGAGCATGTGGCACAACGTTCTTTTTAGAGATGAAATAAACTTTAAGGTTGATTTGACAAAAAAACAAAGCAATGCTGAGATGAAAGCCACATAAAAAAATGAACTCAAATGTTCAACGTATAGAATAAAACATGATAGTGGAAGTATAGGCATCTGGGCCTGCATGAACTATGAAAGTGACGGTTGTTTCAAAATATATTGGACAATTATTTAATGTCTTCTATTGACATTTATCCAAAAGACATGGAAATCTTTAAACAAGATAATGCTCCATTCTGGTAAGATTTGCAGCAAATGTTTGAAGAAAACAATATTAAAATCATGTCTTGGCCTGCCAATAGTCCAGATTTCAATTACATAGAAAATATTTAGTCTGGGTTAAACTGCACTCTTGGTAAAAATGAAATAAAATATCTGGACCAGCTGAAAATTACTGAATAGTGTTCCAAATAGATTACTCAAAACTTAGTGAACTCCATTCCGAAACATATTAATGAATGCCTAAAAGCAAAAAGATTGTCAAGCAAATATGAGTTCTTTTTTTTTTTTAATGTTTTGTATTTTTAATTAAGTTTTGTTAATTTTATCTTTGTGGTTTGTTTTTTTTGGCCAAAAATTTTGTTTTTGATACAAATAAATACTTGTTTAAATTTCAGTATTTTAGTTATTAACTTTTTTAATTTTTACTATTTTATAATAAATTTATACTGTGATTATTTGATTTATTTCAATAAAAAAAATTTAGGAAAAAATCACTTTTAGTTTATAAAATATTTAATTTCAAACTTATGTTCATACTAAAGTAACATAATGGATTGTTATTAACGGCCAAAACTGCATTATTCATTTTGAAATACAAATAGGTGGGGCATTACTAATTTATTTTTAAAGTAGATGACGTATATGATTTATCAATCTACACAATTGACAAATATGACACTTTTATATTTCTGTTTTGTTAAATACCATGCACACGGTTTCTTGGTATCAAATGACATATTAATGGCTTTAACATTTAATGCTGTTAATAATTTTTGAAATGCAACCAAAAAGATAGAGTAAGGGTAATATCATCAGCATATGCCAAAAGATTCAAAAATGTCCCCAGTGTTACATCATTGCTTATATAAAAACTATCAGAATTTGCCATCTGACACTCATAGTTTGATTTTTCTGTCAAAATGCAAGTAGACAGACAACATTATTAGCAAATAATATTTTATATTTTAGTAGAGGCATTATATTTTAGTAGAGGTATTATAGTAGCTAATAGGTATTGCAGTAGACAAAATGTTGATAGCAAACTTAATTAGAAAAAAATCATATGTACAAAGCATCATATGTACATTCTATCACGTTGTTCTCTATAGTAGTGGATTCAAGTCGCGATGCAAAAATATCAACAGCTCGTTAGGTAGCAACTGCTATAGATATCAACCGCATATTTGTCTCTTATGCTCCAAAAACAAGCGCCTTAGATTTTTTCAGTTGTGCAGCCTTTTGTTTTGGTTTTTGTTGATTTTGCTGCTATGTTGGAAACTTTTTTTGGCAATTTCAGAATTATGATTTAGTGAAGACTCATTTCTCAACAGAGGAAAGTCATCACGTTGTACAACAGCCTCATAGGGATTGTCTGCTGTAACTAGACATGGGCTGTGTTCTGCTCGACCGGTTTCAACAGCAACCAGATAATCAAATAATGTTTTTATGCTCAATAGATCTTTTCATTTCATTTGAACGAATTGTCTTACTTTGGCACGAAGATATGCAACCTCTTGTATAAATGCACTTACATCATTATGATGCGTACCAACTGGAGGTAACCTTGATAAGTCACATGCCTAAAAACGGGTAATTCATTTAATGGGTTTAGCAAATTTTTAAGAATGTCCTTAACTATTTTTTGACATTCTTCAACATCTTATTTTTTTCTTTTTTTTTTTAATCAGACAAGAGCTTTGAAATAAGATTTTACCTTATTAACACAAATAGTATTTTTATGTGAACAAATTAAACTACTTTTTATTTCTCAACATCGATATGATGTCCTGATGCTCTGGCTTTTAGTTTTTAGTATGTGTGTCGCAATCTATTTATAACATATTTTTGAATGTAATCGTGTTAAAGTAATTGAATCTACAGACAGTTTTAAAGATGTTTTTATTGATGATTTTTCTGAATTAGTAACAACACGTTTCTTTTTTTGAATGCAACTCTCTCGTGTATATTGCTGGTTATGTTGCTATTATGCAAGTAAATGGCAAAAAATTTTTGAACTTTGCCTGACAAGCGGTTTTAAACCCTTCCAATGCCGCGACCCCTTGATATTTCTTGCCAATTTGTGTCAACCCCAACAATTAAGTTAATAAGGTTGCTACTAAATCACTGCGTTTTTACAGCTAAACTTATTTTTTGACTTCTAATTTTCTGATTTTTATTTTATTTTATAATTTGTAGACACCATATTTTTTTCTTACAATTTTTTTTTAAAAACTGATTAAAACTAATTTATCAACAAAAAAATGTTTTTGGTGAATATTTGCAAAGGAATGAAATCTTTAGATTGTAAAAATTTTATAAAGCCTCAACTTTAAAATTTCAATTAAGTGTGACTCTCGATTGTATAACGTACATGCACGATGCGCCCTTAAAATATTGTGAACTTTAAAATATTTTAAGTGTAAATTGTTCAATGTACATTTTCCGATTGAGAGTCACACACAGTTCAAGCTTTTAACATTTAAAAGTTGATGTTATAAAACCATTAATAAATACACTTTTTTGAAAGTTAATGTTATAAAACCATAAATAAACACTGTCAGTATAGAAGTATCACTTAAATTTAAAATGATAAAAAAAAACTACTGACATGTATTAACAATTATTTTCAGAATGTAAAAGTGGCGATTCCCAATTTGGATCGCGACCCAAAGGTTGGGGGTCGAGATCCAAATTGGGGAACGCCACTGTTATACGTACATTAGCAAATATTTTTTATTTCACAATTCACAAATTATCATTTAAGAATATTACAAATGGTAGTTTAATAATAATAAAAAAAGAATTTATTAGTCTTAATGAGACTTTTAATATATTTTTAAATAATTAATTCGTGAGAAAAATCTTGTAAACAAACTCTTTAGTAAAAAAATCGAAAAATTACTTTTAAAACAAATGTTTCTTTTTTTTAATTCAGATTTTTTTTTTTGTAACCAAATCATTTAAATTGAATGAAATATAAAAACATTATATTGCCAAAACATTTAATAAAAACAATTCTTTTAAAAACTAAACAAATAATAATGTAACGTCTCATTCCGCACGAGCGGGCTTTAGAAGGCATAAAACATATAGAAGGATACCGCATAGTTTTTAGCATTCAATAAATGTACACAGATTTTTTAGATTTTTTTTTTTTACGAATCAGAATATAAACTTAAAATAAAATAAAAAATAAAAAAAAATTAAATAATTTTAAAAAGTTATTTTATACAATACTTTTTAATAGTTTTCTTTTTTTAATACTTCAAATTTAAGTATTTATATACACTTAGGAAATACGTGGTAATTAAAAAAACGGTAATTAGTAATAATATGTATGACAATAATAATAACAATAGCAATATTAATAATAATCAATAAAATAGTTTGAGTTTTGTAAACCAATTTCTATATTTTTCATATATTCCGAATTTTATGGTTGATTACCACAAATTTTTGTAATGCATCTTTATATGTCATAAACAAATGTTTCGAGTTTGCTCTATGTCACTCAAACACCACAAAACAGTAGCATCGTCTCAGATTAAATGCACAATTAATTTTTGGAGGATTTTTTTAAATCCTATTTTTATATTTAATATATATATTTTATTTTTGACTCACTAAAACCTTGCTCTTGATTATTATACATGGACGATGCTTTTGTATAACAAAAGCAGTTACCATGGTGATAAAACGTTAACTTAAACATGCTAAAGTTAAAAAATTTATTTTAATGGCTAAATATTGTAAGGAAATATTATATACAATGTATTACAGCCACTATAATTAACATATCTTAAATTACAACCAAAAATTAAATGTATAAGGAAAAACGTTTTTACTAGTATGAGAGAAAAAGAAAAACATCACTCCAAATGTTGTAAGATATTTAAAATAACAATTTTTTAAAAAATTTCTTTACAATGGCTTTTTTTTTTGGTAATGTCTTTTTGCTTTAGATATAAACTAAATGTTATTTAAATGTATTAAGACTTGAAGATTAGAATTCTGTCTTCTACTAGTTTATGCCATTTTTGATATTTTATTCATAAAAGTAGTAACAAAGAACGTTTAAAAATGTTTATGAATTTGGTCATTATTTTTTAAAGACTAAGAGATTGCTGTATGAAACTTGAAACTTAACGAAAAATACGAAGTTAACTTTTCTATCAAAACACGACTCCTAAATTATTATTACTTAAGGTATAGCACTTAAAAAGTTTACATTCAGTTTTCTTATGTAAAAAATTTAAATATATATTTAGTTATATAACAACATATTTACAGGGCCGGCGCCCTGTAAATATGTTGTTATATAAAAAAAAATGTTGTTATATAAAAAAAAAATGGTCCTTGTTTTTGAAAATTTGCTGACTTCCATGACGACATTTGCCGACTGACTGTCTAAATTTACCGACTAACCTTTCGACAGGGTCTACATTGCCGACTAACTAGTCAAAAAGGGTCAAATTTGCCGACTAAGAGTCAAGTTTGCCGACTAAAAATTATTGTAAATTTTATAAAAATTTATTTGCTTAAAACCTTCGGATTTGTAATTGAAAATCTAACTTGATAACAAAAAATCTTGCTGAGAGTGTTACAAAAAAGTGTTGATAACAAAAAATCTTGCTGAGAGTGTTAAAAGAAGCAGTTGTCGTTAAGTCTAATGAACTAAATAAGACAATGGTAGACTTAATTGACAACGTAATATTCATACTAAAACCTACTTACACTGAAACATTTTAAAAAGTTAATTCGCGTCTGTTGAATTCGTATTTTCATTGATTTTGTATTGCATTCATGGTTTTTTCACATTTATTGGTTAGAAATGATTTACTAACTTTAACTAAATATTGGAATAATTTTTGAACGTTTAGTTTCAATTTAATATTTATTTTACATGTTATCTATTCTTTTTAAAGAAGTTTCTGAAGTTCCATGAACCTGCAAATGACGTTTGTATGTTTTACTGTTTAAACTTAGATGATCTAATTTAAGAAAACTTATATTAAAATAAATCGCTAAATGTTTTAAATATTTTTTTAATAAAATATTTATCGTATTTTTTTTATACTAAATATATATTAACATTTGGTGTATTTATGGACTGTATTTGATTCGCCATTAAGTATTAAAAATTAAATCAAATAAAAAATAAATAGATCATTTCACGATGGAAGTACACAAAATTTATAGTGATAAATAACCAAAGTTAGTTACGTCATAACATATTATGATCTAGCAACGATGTTAACAATGAAGACTACAGTTTTTTTGTTTAATTATGTAATGTTGTAATACCTTCATTATTGTTATTATCGATTGACATTAAATATATTTTATATAATAAAAACTCTTTAATGTTAATATTTTTTAACAAATTATTATCATTTTTTTGTTTTTGCTTCTTATCCTACTTTTTAAATTATTAATTGATCTAAAACTTAAAAAAAAAAAAAGATTAGTTTATAGTTACTTGATATATATAGTTAGATCATAAAAATTTTTAGTTTTACTCTATTTTTATAATTACATAAATGATAAAAAAAAAAAAAAATTAAAATTATTTTTAACAACTCAAAAATTTGTTTGTGAGACGGCAAAACTTAGTAAAAATAATTTTAAAGATAGTAGGAGGATGTAAAAAACTTGTAGGAGGCATTAGAAAAAATATTTGAAAATATAACTATTTTTATGCTTGACGCAAACGGTTGTTTCATAAATGTACTAATGATTATTCTATTGTTTGTCATTTTGTGTACAATTGTAGTATTTGCAAATTTGCTTAGAAACCTATAAAAATATTTTTTGAAAATTAAAATAATTTTTTTTTTCTCGTGCAGATCGATACTAATTGATCTTCTTTATTTAAAATAATATTGTGCAATATATTTTGCATTTTACTTGCGTCAAACTACTTTTTTATTTTATATTTTAAAATTATTATTTAATATTTCATTCCTTGTATGCTGTTTTATGATCTTATTTGTAAAGAATAGATAAAGTAAATAAACAGACGAAGACCGAGGAAAGAAAATTAGTATTACCTTTGAATATTTTGACAAGTCTAACACTTATAAAACCCCTTACCATTTGAGCAGCAAATCAAGTATCTTAAAATATACTCAAATAATTCAAAAGAAGTTGAAAGTGTTTTTAAATGGAAACCAGGGGTGGATCCTGCATTTTTAACATTTGAGTTAAGTAACTTTCAGGTAATTTAAAACTCTAAACTTTTGTATGTTTGCAAAAAATTGCAATGGTTTGCTAAAAATTGGGTTGATCAGAACTTGGGAACAAAAATATCCTGCAAAGTAGGCATTAACTGACCAAATAAAGAGAGAAAATTTTTAAAAACATAAATTTTACTATTTTAAACTTAATATAAATCTATTCAAAGAATTAAAGTTACATAAAAAAAAATTATAATGCATAAAAATTTTCCTCGTGTAAAATTTACACTTTCCTTATCATAGGGAATTTTTACTTAAACTTTATATGATTATAATTTTTAAATACTAAATGATTTTTTAATAAATTTTTTTTTTCAAAAAAAGTCTATTGGAACCTTCTATTGTTACCCAGTAAGCACTATTGGAACCTTCATTGTTACCCAGTAAGCACTGACGTGTTTATACGTCTATAATAATAGAATGGCTCAGGGTTAGGGTTAGGGTAAAGGCTAGGGTTTTGTAGGGTATTATACTCTATAGGGTATTATACTCTATAGGGTATATACCCTAGATAGGGTATATACCCTAACCCTGACCCTAACCCTAACCCTGAGCTAAACAAAGTAAGCCCTAAGATAACGTCACTATTTTTTTTTTTTTATGATTTTATTTTTGACGGAACATTGTAATTTTTGACAGAACATAATTTTTGACAGAACATTGTAAGTTAATCTGGCTACAAATTTACAAAGAACATTTGTTCTTATTCTTGAACAAACATTTTTTTATTGTTTGTAATAAATATTTTATTACTTTTTAGAATTTCAAAGTTTTTTAAGTTTTAAATTATGGGTTGCGTACTCAGTAAAGATGGCCATTATGAGTCCTTTCAATCAAATGATACAAATATGATTAATGTAACCAAAAACACTGAATGCTTTCAAAAAGATTTCCCAAACCAAGATGTTAATGGAAAAGAAGTAGACAATGAATCTATCATAAACACAGAATACTCTCAAAAAGATTTTCCAAACCAAGATGTAGATAAGAAAAAGGTGGACAGCGATTCTATCGAAAACAAAGAATACTCTCGAAAAGATTTTACAAACCAAGATGTTAATGAAAAAAAGGTGGACAGTGATTCAATCAAAAATGATGATTGTTCTCTAAGAAATATTGAAAACCAAAATAACGATATAAAAGAGGTGGAAAATTCTGTACAAGCCTCCAAAGGTTCACAAGAAAAAAAATTGGAACATGTCGAACCGTCTCAAAGTAGTCTGGATATAATTGATGCTTCATGGATAGAAATAGATTCTAGTATTTCGAAAATGTCACTTCTAGATTCCAATCAAATAAATGTTGAAAATGAAACTAAATCTGGGTGGAAAGTGATTCGGCTTTTTATTTCATCAACATTTGCTGACTTTCATGAAGAAAGAGAAGTTCTTATTAAAAAAGTAAGTGTTTTGTAATACAAATCTTTTATAATATGCGTATTAAGTTTATTGTTAACAAATTTTTGAAATGTTAAAAGTTAGTTAACAATAAACCTAATAGGCATAAGCAAATTTTTTAAATTATTTAAATCTGATTTACAAAATACACACAACATGCCTTAAGGTCAATAAAGACTTGATGTCGCAACTACAGTTTGCCGTTTACCCCCATTTTAATAATTAATTATGATAAAATATGTTATGTTAATTCAGAATTATATAAAAACATAGGTGTGAAAATTTAAGGAAAGTATTCTAATTTAATATCAAAAGAGCTGCAGCAGTGAGGATGGGGGTTTGGGAGTATTGTAGTAACGTCAACAAGTCATCAGTGACTTTTATTGAGTCAAAGCATTTAGTATATTTAAATTGTAGAAGTGCAAGGTTTGTTTTTGTAAACCTTTATTCTAGTCACATTAATTATAAAATTTATTTATGGAAAGATAGCTTGATTTTTTTATTCCTTATATTGCAGCCATATATAGATTTAATCAGCTAATATATTTTGCAGTTTATTTATTTTTTCAAGCACAAAGTTTTTAAAAAAGAAAATAAAGTTTGGTGTTGGGAGCTTTCTGCTTTGCAGCGTTAAACATACCCATAAGTTCATCTTAATCAATGTTGTGAATTCTTTTTGATTTAGTCTGATCTTTAAGTTGATCATTAGAACTCATGTCAAAGTACCGCTTGTTCTGCCTTTGAATGACACTAACAAAGCATTCAGACAGTCAGCTAATGTTTTACTCATTTTATTAGTTACTTGATAGTAAAAACTGATTAACAAATCAAAGACTAGATCTTTAAAACCATTTACAAAAGACCTGTTTTTTTTAATAAGATATAGAGGATTCTTGCTGTTATCAACGTTTCAAATATTTTGACTACCTTAATGTTAGATAGCTGTTGCTAAGTCTATAATCTGGTGCAACATAAAACTTATTTCATCCATAGACCAGTCAGTAGCTTTCCAGTTAATGTTTAGGCGCAATACTCAAAGATACCTGAAACAAAAAAGTTAATAAATTATAAATCATAATATTAGTCTCTAATAATCTACACTCCTCCAACTATTCTTGCAAGTGTCATAACTATTGGTCTTAAAATTTTTAAAAAACATTTTATATTACACGCTTCTTTATCAATTAAAGTATTGAACGGGCACAAGAATGTAAACATTTATATATAAGATTTACCTGTTTCAGACATAAAATCTTGAAACAAAATATTTCTAAGCCATACTTTCAATATGGCAGTTTATCAAAATATCACATGTGTGAAAAAAATGTGTAACCTGTTCCACTTTAGCGTGGTTGCAATTCTCTGGGCAGCTTGTCTTGGTTCAAAAAAGCTATAAAATCTTTTGGGTCACTTTTAAATAAAATAAAGTAAATTATTTTAAAGACGGCAAGGAGCATGTAAAATAAAAGCATTTATACGCTAATTATACAACTTTTTAGAAATAAAACTTATAATTTACACAACTACACTGTATTTAAGTAAAAGAGTAGGATTAAGAGAATACATGTACCATATGCGTCTTTGTGGTGAAGTTTGTTCAGCTGTAAAATATTGTTTTCTGCAATGCAGTCTTTTCTAAAAAGTTGTGATTTGTGGCTTGCTGCAACTCGGTCACTGATCTTATTAGTTATCATGCCAATAGTGCTTTGTACATCAATGAATTGTAGCTGGTAGAAGTTATTAAATAACTTGGCAAAATTATCAATAGACTTTGTAATGTTACTTTGATTGTTGTAATTTTTACCTTAAAGAATTTGATTAATAGCTACCATGCATACTGATTTGTTTGCCAAATGCACAACATTTATATAAAAACCATCCTAGGTTGTCGCATCAAAACTAAGTTACTCAAATATTTTTTTCTCGGCAGTCTGTAAGTCTGAATTTACACCAAACTCGTGCATAATTTGCTCTACAGTAGTGTGATGCGGAATGTGATTAAATTAATAGCCACTGTGTTTACTAATTTAATGAAGAAAATGAGGCATACTATGTGTTAGAACTTAGCACACAAGCGTGTCATAGATAAGCGCCCTAATATCTGTAGATATTTTTATATTTGGTGCTTTTTGTTACTTGCTGCATCTGCTTCATCTTCTCTTGTAAAACAAGCAACTGTAAAATCAGTATGCAAGAATCGCAGCAACTTTGTCAGCAAGTTGTTGGCATCACATGGCTTTTTGATAAGATAACTTAATTTATATAAATACCAAGAGTTGTTTCAAAAAAAAAGTTTTGGTTTTGAAATTTTTTTAACTTTAAATTTAAATATTTTTCCTCTAATTTTTCGAAAGCTAATAAATTGTCTTCTGCTGGTAAATAATAAACTGATTTTGATATTTAAACTTGTATGGCTTTTTCTTTGCCTCATCTCTTAACTTTTTTAAAACCTCTTTATGCTTTTGGAAAATTTGCCTCATAACTCAGTTAATCAGCTCTTAACCAGAGTAGTAATGATATGTGAGAAGATATCATTAAAGCAGGAGCAGGATAAAAAGAAGGTAAGTGATCAATATTTACTACAGATAAAACACTGATGTGTTAAAAAGATGATAATGAAGAGTTAATTGAACTTGTAATTGCGAGGATTGTGAAAGCAATGGCCTATTTGTTTTCTTTCCAGTTTTTCAACACCTTTTTTAAATTGGAATTTCTTCGAATCATCTTTATATTGAATTATGTTGAATGCTTGAATCTAGAAAATTCAAGCATTCAACATGGAAGTCAACTTAACTTTAGTAAAGCTAAAACCATCATTCAGACCCTGAGCTGAGTACGGGTTTGCGTTTCGAAACACTTTTGGAAGCGACAACGAATTATGCAATAAAAATTTGATTTAGACGAATCAGCTCTGCAAGGAAGAAAAAAATAGCTTTGAGAGATTTGAAATTGGTTCAAGGGATACATACCGGTATTTACATCGATCGATTTAAAACAAACATGACAACCATTTAAAACAACCATGACATTCATTTAAAACATCGTGACAATCAATTAAAACAATATGTTTTTCAATTAAAACAATCGTGATTTTCAATTAAAAACGATGTTCTTAAGATAAGAAAAAATTTCTTCACACGGATTCAAGAATGGTGAATATGGTGGCAAATATTTTATTTGAATGTTCTGAGCCCTAATCTCAACATTATGATGGATTCTGACGTTATCCATCACCAGGGTGAATTCTTCCTCTGTCCCCAAAACTCGTACAACTTTATCAATATATTCTTGAAACAAAACTGTGTTGATTGACACACTGACAACTTCGCACTGAATAATATTTAAACCATTGCACAGTGAATCGACTCATACAATCTAGCTGGACAAAAATGTTTTGTTCACAAATTCGATTTTTCTAGTCATAAAAGGTTGAAATAAATAATATTTTGTTGTTTTATTGAATAATTAACTTGAGTTTAATAAATTATACGTTTTTATTTGCGGAGGATAAGTGACCCTACCCCTAACTACTACCCCCCCTATTCCCCTCATTGCAGCAACCACTGTTATAATAAAAATAGAAGTAATAAATATATTTGTAAAGCAAGAATACATAATATTATACAATAAATTTTATAATTAGTTATCAGAAAACTCGTCGTTTATATCCTCTAAACACTCATCTATTGAATCTTCAGATGACTCATCATTTGATTCATCGAACAAGTTACAATTTGCAATTCTTGGAGCCGGAACAATCAAATTTAAAACCTCTACTGGCAAATTTATTGTTATCGACTTATTGTTTCAATTAAGCGTTCAGTTGTTTTATTCAATATGGCTTGAAGTTTAATTTCAGCTCGTGATTCTGAGATAGAAATAAATTCTTCAGGAGGGTAACACAACCTTTTGGATTTACATAAATTATAGTGAGAAGGAAATACTTCATGCCCTGCTTTTAACGACCACTTTCTTGTTTGTTTATAAGAGTGACTAGTACACTTTGAATCTACATAATAGGCAAGTGCCTCATCGTTACTTAACTGCCTGGTACCACAAATAACATCAGTAGATTTTCTTTGCTCTAAGGTATTTGTACTTTTTCTAATAGAAGTAGCTACGTTTCTTTGACCCTACAAACGATGTGCTATTTCAGCAGCTGTTGTTAATTCATTGGCACTCCGCGATTGCAATAAGTCTTCAACTCTACGTCTTTTACTTTTTAAAGATAAGTCTTCAAAGCTTTTCTTTGGCCAACCTTGAGGCCGATTTCCTTCAGATGTTATGGAAGCACAGGACCGATGCAAACTTATTTTAAATTCTAAATTATTGCCCTCTGACCAACTTTTATTTTTCTTTAAAAATATATCAATATTTCTATTGGCTGCATTTCACTTTTGCGCAAATTTAGCGGATATGCTTGCAACTTTTAACTGTATTTTTTTTTTTCGAATCACTAGTAACATCTTCTGTAATATAGTTTTTCAATATAAAATCAAACAAAAGAGAATTTCGTTCTTCCGTTGTATGTTTTTTCCATACTTCAAATAACTCCAGTTTTTTAATAGAATACACTCGGTCTGAAAAAAATTAAATAAAAATGAAATGGGCAAATAAGGGCAGCCAAATCTTTTATATTTAGACAACTTATTGTTGTTATAATATATAAAAAAATCAGCTTGAATATACTTGAATAAAATTAGTTACACGCTTTTAAAATTAAAAAACGAAAAAGAAATTGCAATTTTTATATTGTTTTTTTAAATCTATAGAATTATCATTTTTGTCAATTATTTTAAATAAGTTTTCAATAAAATACAAAGTTCATACCTTCTAAAGTAAAATTCATGACAGCAGAGTTAATTATTATTCACAATAAACTAGTTATATGTTATTGTTACACAGCAAAATTGCAGCTATTTTCCTTAAAAAAAATATGTTTATCTTTAAGTAACACTTGAGCGCTAATAATTTAACACTTAAAATCGCGTGCACTATTTAATATTTTGAATTTTTCCCTAGGGAGTATTCAGTAATATCATGGGAATATCTATTAATTGATTCCTTGAATTGACTTTTGTCCAGCTAGATTGTATGAGTCGATTCACTGTACATTGACGGCCAAGAAACGTTACGCTGCCGGGTGTAACGTTTCTTGGCCGGTATTGGTGTTACTCTTCTTCTTGCCCATGAATGACTTGATGAATGATGAATGACTGTGAAACGTGTGTAAATTAAATGGACTTTCATCAATAAAAATAATATTTCGATAGCGATTAATAGGCGAGATTGAAGTATACCACCTAATATATTCAATATAAAGATTTTTTACATCATTGTCGTTTCTTTATTCATAAATTGGTCGAGTAATTTTATGTGTGTATTCAAGATTGGTCACCCATCTCCAGACAGTTTTAATAGATACACTTACATTTATAGCATATTTAATTTCAATTATAGTTGTCTTTGTGTTATTGTTTATAAGCTCTTCAATTCTTCTAATCTCTTCATTATAAATAACGTAACGAGCGCCACCTCTAGAACCAGGAAGTGTTGAATTTGTTATCTTAAAATTGATTGTATTGTGTTTCAATTAACTCTTGTTAATGATGAAGCTTCAGATTTAGTTTTTCCTTGATCAACAATTAGATTTACAACAAGATCTCGCATGTTTTGGGAAACGGAATTTTGTCTCAAAACAATTCAAAAATCTCAAAACAATTTTTCGCGTATTTTGGCAAACAGAATTTCGCTGCATGTTTTAATGAAAACCTAATATCCTCATGCGCCCGACGGGCATTTGTTTTTAAAAGTTACGATCTAAATGTATTTTATATGTCTTTTAAACGTCTTTTAAAGATTAATGTTTAAAAGACGTTTAAAACACATTTAGAACGTAACTTTTAAAAACAAATGCTCGTCGGGCGCTTAATGATTTAATAAGAAATCATGGTTATTTTAATTATCATCATGCATGTTTTAATTGAACATCATGGTTGTTTTTCTAATACGAAGTATGAGTATGTGTGTAAAAAATATGTAAAAAAAATATGGTTTTGCATCCATTTAAAACAAACATGACATCCATTTAAATTTAAAATAAATTCCGTTAAATTAATATAATATTAATAAAAATAAATTTGTATAATATTAGATAAATAAATATATAAGGAAAACCTTTTTTTAAATAAAATAGAATATTGAGATTGCGCATGCGTTAAATGTTTTAATTGAATATCACGATTGTTTTAATTGAAAATCACATTGTTTTAATTGATTGTCACGATGTTTTAAATAAATGTCTTGGTTGTTTTAAATGTTTGTCATTTAAAACAACCATCAGCCCTGCCTGACTTGCATTAAGAGTTTAGTATAAATGGGAGAGTGTGTAGATGCGTGTTTTAATTAACAGGTCTAAATTAATCTGTAAATATATTTCAAAAATGATTGCAGTTAATATTCAGCCATTTCCTATAGTATAATGTCTTGGATTTCAAAGAATACATTAAAAAAATATTGCAAAAATATTTTTAAATATATGCAACAAAATGTATACTGTATTTCAAAATATATACAACAAAGTGAGACAAATCTAAAATGAACTGAATCATGCTTCCATCCATTTCATTTACAACTAATAGACTGTCTAAAAAAATTACCAATATCATACCCTCTTGTTAAATAATGTAAAGAGAATTAAAAAAAAAAAAGAGTAAGTTTATCATTAAAAACAGTTTGTTTTAATTTTTTTTTAACTAAATTATCTACTAAGATAGGGCTGTCCTACGTCCAAAATAGGAAATTAAGTTAAATGAAAATCGCCGCGTAAAAGAGTTTAATATCTCCTACTCCTGCAGCCGTATTCTCATCTCTTCGTTAAGTTTAACGGAGCTTTTGTCTGATAAATTTCATAACAATATTTCTAAGTAAAGAAATGACGATAACCTTACCAAATTTTTTAAAACAAAACTAATACTAAAATAAAACATTTATTTTTTAAAAATTATATTTTTAAAGAACTTTTTTATTAATGAAGTTAAAAAGAAATTTTCTACTAACGCTCCGTTAAGCTTAACGGAGAGATGAGAATACGGCTGCTGTTCTTAAAATATTTTTTGCATTGCGTAATTTTTGGACGATCCCTATTCAAATAACGTAAAAGCGCAAAACTTGTTTTCATAACCATTCAGAAGATGTTATCAACACCGGGACTACTCTCCCCCCCCCCACAAACAAACAAAAAATTTAAAAAAACTTATCAATATTTTTAGCGTTATTATTTTATTATCATCGGTAGTATAGCTATATCAGTATCGGTATTATTGCTTTTATTATAATCGTTATTTTAAGAGCATTATAAGTATTATAAAACAAGTATATTCCTGACAGTACATTCAGGCCCGTCTTTACACATGTCCATCATAGGCAGCCGCTGCGGGGTCATAGCATTTGGAGAGGCAAGCTGGAAAGAAACCAATTTATTTTCAGTTTAGCTCTACAAACTTCGCTTTTAAACTTTAAACGGAAATTGGATCGGCTAGTTACGGCTGTTTTAATCCGAAGCACAAATACGAAAAGATTCAACAAAGTAATTGAATGAAAGTAAGTGATTCTAGCAGGTGAAATTGTTTTAAAGTGGAATAAGCTATATAGCTCTCTTTTTTTTTCGTTCGAAATGGTATTATCAATTTTCATCGTATTTTAAAAGAACTTATGCTATTAGTGAGCACCAACAAACACTTTGCTGCTTGTGATGGATCCAAGATTCATCAATCATCTAAATCATCGCCATGGATACGTCACTGCTCTGCTGAGCTTACAAACGCCAACATGACGAGTTAATGTCTATTGAAGCTTCACTGAAGGGGGGGGGGGGCGATTGTTGAGGTTAATCTAATCAATTGACTTTTATTTGAGCTTTAAAGGCAAAGACAAGTTTATGCTTTACTAATCAGAAAAAACAGATTTATTTTAGGAAGGGGAGGAGCGGAGAGTTTGTAGAGGCCCCAACTGTTATTCCGTTATGGGGCTAGGATAAACTAAAGACGGTCCTTTAGTTCAACCCGAAAAAACTTAACTTTTGTAATAAGGGGCCATCCATAAAGGACTTTATCCAAATAGGGTGGAGGGGGTGGAGGGGTCGAGTTAAAAAGGATAAAAAAGAATAAGAGGAAGGGGGGTTGTCATCCTAATACAAAGATGAAGCTGTTAACAACTCAACATCATAAAAGTATGCCTATTTGCATTTAAACTGTCCAATTTGTTGTCAAATGACGAGCAATAAATTTTGTAATAATAGAAAACCAAAAAGTATGACCTTCATACTTTTAAACTTTAATTATTTTTTGTGTTTGTAAAACATATAAAGCCAATTTGTTGTTATTTAAAATAGCAAAAAGAAGTTGTAAGTTTACGAATTACTTTCAAAAAGATTATCAATTTGTAAAAAAACCTAGTGGTGAGGGCAGCAAAGTGATGTTCCAGCAATATTAATCAGAATTTTCAGTTGCACACGATGGACAAGCAGATATTAAAAAACATTTAAAGTGTGCCGAACACAAAGCTGTTGTATGTTCTTCTTTAAACTCTTCCTTTTTTATAAAAGATTTTCCATGAATTTGTGAAAGACACTATATTTCTCTCCTTTAGTATATTTTGCTCACCCCCTCCCCCGCTTGTCTCAGTGTGCAACCTTAAAATTATAGTAGTATATTATGTGCAACTTCAAAATTATGGTACATATGGAGTCTCATAAGTCATGTGTTGTATTTTTGTAGATACATTTCAAATACTTATAGAGACATTGTTCCTGTTTTTTTGGTAACTCTAAGAGTGATAACTACAAATAACTTTAGAAAAATTTATTTGTATGCAGAGATAAAGAGTCTATAAAGAAATTATGTTCATGATGAAACTATGACATAGTTTCATCATGAACATAATTTCTTTATGAACATAGTCTATGTTCATAAAGTTACATTACCTGTATTTGCATCTAGATTTTTTTAAATCTATTAAAATTTTATTTCATCACAAATTATTTATTTTGAATTTATAGGTTGTACCTGAATTGCGAGAATGGTGTGAGCAGAGGCAAGTTCATCTAATTGAGTGTGACTTACGTTGGGGTGTTCCAAAAAATACAGATTCAAAAGACACAATTTCAACATGTTTAGATGAAGTATCGCGATGTATAAAAGAAACAAATGGTCATCCTTTCTTTTTAAATATGTTAAGTGAAAGGTAAATAATAATACATTACAATCATGTTAAATAATTTAAATTTGTTGCTGCTCCTGAAACTTTTGTAAACCAGTAGGTTTGTTATTTTTTAATAAATTTTCAGGCTTTTATTTAAAATAAATATACATTCATTCATTTAACGATTAGTTGATTAGAATAACCTTCATGAGGCATTTGGTTAGGAAAATAAGGATATCCTAAGTTCCTAACCTAAATAAAATAAAGAATAAGAATAGCAAAAACATGAAAATAAATTTTAATAATGCTTTGTTTACACAGAATTCAATAAATGTACTTAAATTGCTGAAACATGAGAACATGCTTAAAAATTAATTAGTTTATATAGCCCAACTGTGAGAACCGATATCTTAAAACATCCCCAATAAAATTTATGTTTTTTGTTTTATAATATTTTTAGTTGCTTATAATATTTCATATCATCTAAAATCTAGCTGGAAAAACAACAGTAACATATAGAACTATAATTTCAGAGTTTTATCACTTTTTCAAGAAACTACTAAAATATATTTGTACAAATACAGTAAAAATAAAATAACTTTAATTTAAAATGTTACTTAAAAGATTTTTTTAAGAGTTTATTAAGTAAGAAAATGTTTTGACTGTTTTTGTAATAGTTCACAATGTTTCTGCCATTTTACTTGTACTTCTTCCATTTTAGAACTATAGTAAGCTTGGAACAGATTGTTTTTTCAATATGTATATATAGGAATAAAATTGTAGTCATCTTTTTAAAGTCAGTTAAATTATATATATACATACAGGCCTCAGCGGGAATAAATGAGTACAAGAGCGGAGAAAAGTTCTCCTAAAACAAAATTGGGGAGTGGTGCAAGCTGCTCCTCATTTAAATTGCCGCTCTTTTTTAATTCTAATTTTTTTTTGCAACAACCGTGCCTTTTAAAAAGCATTTCAGTATATTATGCAATTAATTTTTCTAAATGAAATTGTGGTTTTTATTTTATTTAAAATGATAATTATACTTTATGAGAAAAATTATACTTCTGCGAGAGCCGTTAATAGCTCTCATAGGAAATACGTAAATAGCTCTCGTAGGAAATAGCTTCTCGGCAGGAAGCAAGAGCTGAAGCTCTTATATATATATATATATATATATATATATATATATATATATATATATATATATATATATATATATATATATATATATATATATATATATATATATATATATATATATATATATATATATATATATATATATATATATATATATATATATAAGAGCTTGCCGAGGCCAATATATATATATATATATATATATATATATATATATATATATATATATATATATATATATATATATATATATATATATATATATATATATATATATATATATATATATATATATACATATATACATATATACACAACCCTTGGAATTAGAGAATATATATATATATATATATATATATATATATATATATATATATATATATATATATATATATATATATATATATATATATATATATATATATATAATATAAATATATATATATATATATATATATATATATATATATATATATATATATATATATATATATATATATATAATATACATACATATATACACAACCCTCGGAATTAGAGAATATATATATATATATATATATATATATATATATATATATATATATATATATATATATATATATATATATATATATATATATATATATATATATATACAAATAGTATTGCGTACTAAGGTAAGCAATCTGATGTCATACTGAAATAGCCTGCTGCTGGGGGCTTCAGTACATCGACTGAGGGATATATATATATATATATATATATATATATATATATATTATATATATATATATATATATATATATATATATATATATATATATATATATTTATTAAACAATTTAACTATAATAACATTTATTAAACAATTTTAACCGCATTTATTAAACAATCATTAGATGTTAGTTTTTAATTAATTTTAAAATGTTTTGCATAGTACTATAAAAACATTAGTAAAGATTAACAATTTAAAGTTATTTATTCCAAAGATAATTTAGATAATCTTATCATTATAGTTTATTATTTATTTTAGTCTAGTTTTAATTTTATTTTTTCAATTAAGCTTTAGTTAAGTTATTTTATTTTTCGTTATTTTTTTTACAAAAATTTATTTGCTTTTTTACAATAAGTTTTTTTTTAAGTTTCTTTATAGTCAAAATTTTTTCAGCCATTTTTAAAATGTGTACAAATTTTCAAAATATATTAATAGCCATGGTCAAGTTTTTAAAATCAATTAGTATTTGCGTGGTCATATTATGACGCAAAATCGCACGCTTTCCTGGCCAAGCCTGATATACAGTGATATATTCCTGATATTTCGAACTTCCATATTATATATATATATATAATTATAAACCAATTGCACATTCATGGCTGATGCTGATTGAATAACCAATTATTAAAATTTTCAAAAATTTAAAAGCATTAAATTATTAAATTGTATAAATTTTTCTGAAAAACAAAAATATTTCTGTAACATTTGATATTGAAATAAAATTTAATAAGAATTAATGTTTTTCATTTAAATTTTAAAAACAAACAAATTTATTGCTTCATATATATTTT